TTTGATTTTCTTTGTATTATATAGCAAAAAAGCGACTTTTAAAATAACACTCACGTTTGATGCTAACAATACTCCCAAATCGCGAGCAGAATTAATAACAAGTTCATCGGACGGATAGTGGAGGACGCCTTATATGTTCAAATTAGTTTTTCATTTCCAGCATTTCCTTTTCGGCTTGGACCGTGGCCTACGTTTTGAATTGCCAAATTGGCAAATAAACAGATTTAAAGAATTAAAGGTACTTGCTGTCTGTTGTCTACGAACCTCTAAAGGAAAAGAGGAAAATTTGAAGCTTATAAGTAATCCCGTATTTTTTTGCGTACTTTTGGTGTTATGCTGGTAGCGTAATTTTACTTTCTAACTACCTTACCTACGGCTATATTATTCAACTGCAACGACCTTCTCAAGGTAATGATACCGTAGAGAGGCTTCAGGTCGTTGTGTTGTTACTTTATAAATATCTACCAGCTGGTAACTCTAGACGGCCAAACTGGTATTCTCTAATTTATTTCTGCAATTTACAAATCGTGTAGGTACATTTACTCAGGAAAGCTATTTTTGTACTGCACAGTGCAGATATTACCACTTACCTACGATACGAAATTATTCTTTTATATTAGTACTTAGACAGTCTTGCTAAAGTGACAACAATCATCTAGTTTGAAGATGAAGATACCCAAAACGATTAAAATTTAACATTTGACGTTTTACTATTAGCGTAGGTACTGCTACATTTTTTGTACGCTGCGATTTCAATTAAATAATGGGCCAGTCTAATTTTAAACTCTTAAGGACCTAGTGGCATAATAACATTCCGATTGTGGTATATTAAAAGAACCTTTAATTAGATGCACTTATTACTTCCAACTATTTAAATGTTACATTTACTAAATAATTTTATGCCTTTTAGTTATCCAAACTATGACTACTTTTAACCAATTCCCAATTTAGGAAAAACTACTGTTATTTTGAACGTTCTGATGCCAAAACTGCCATACAATTTCTAATGTACTTGGTAAAGAAAACAGATAGTGATTTACAGGTACCATTGTTCAAATTAACTAATTACAATGCTGGTACCACAGACAAAATACTATTTAGTATTTTAATCTGTGCTGGTACGTACTGCATAATAATTTCAATTGTTAATTCAGAGGATATTTGCCCCTTTGTTTAGACAACACACGTAACAAATCAAAGTTCACTTTTATCATAGTACATATTTATATTGGACTATATTATGAGTGCAATAATGGCAAAGGAAATCTAGGAATATCGGCCCAATGATTTGATTCCCAAGATACTTTTGCAACATTTACGGAAATTGGGTGTTATCTTCTAGAACCATTTTGGTTATCCCACTACCTACAATCATTGAATGCTATAATTGTGTTTGTTCACAAATCCGTGGCTAAAGTAGGAGTTTTTGGAAAATGCGGGATTTAGAAATCACTTTCAAGATGGGGACGCTAAACGTTAATGAGGTTGTTGATACCAAATTATATAAAAAAGGTTATTTAGGAGCGCAAATCCATAATTTCAAACAGTTCCAAGATTGGGCTACTAGTTCAAGTTACAGCCCTTTGAATTTTCTTTCGAAATTGGTTTCAAGTCTATAACTTTTGATTGAGAAGTCTGATCGAAAAAGTACGATTTGTTTTGGATTCTATCATTCTACGCACCAAAATTAATAAGAAAAACTGTTTTCCCGAGAAATTTTGGTGCAGTCGATTTTTGGTAAAAAAGGAAGGTTATACACTGCCTTTTTTTGAGGCTCGAAAAAAAACTGTCTCAGATCGACCCGGAAAAAAATTTTGTTATAGAATGTGGCCTGTAGAATCCATAATTTCAAACAGTTCCAAGATTGGGCTACTAGTTCAAAAGTTACAGCCTTTGAATTTTCTTTCGAAATTGGTTTCTTGTCTATAACTTTTGATTGAGAAGTCTGATTGAAAAAGTACGAATTGTTTTGGATTCTACGCACCAAAATAATAGACCGGGAGGCAGCGTACATAGTAACTAAACCATAAGCGACAAAAAATTCGATAATACAGGCTGAAAGTACGTTGAAAACTAGTAATAAAATCACCAGTCTGCCAGTCGTAAGTGGCAGCATTAACTTGAGGGCGGCGCTGAAAAGTGATTCTTTTGGAGATCAACTAAATTACTAAACTATATACGGGCCACGGAAAAGATTTATGTCCAGAAATGCCATTTTTCCCATAGTTTTCAAATACGCTATGGCAGACGATATCAAGTGCAGCGTTGGGGGCGACAGACGGCCCCCAATGTAGAGAAAAACACCCCTGAACTAAACCATGAGGACCGTATAAAAATTATACATTAAAAAATTCCTCTTTTTGTCACTACTTTAAAATATATCCTGGCAGACGATATTAAGTGTAGCTTTAATAGTGGCAGACGTCTTAGAAGTTAAAAAATTTAGGTATAGTAAATCCCTGCGAGTGCGAGCGTGTGAGAGATAAGCGCGCTAGAGCATAACGAACAGAGAGAGCGATAGGATACTGATTTATTATGTTTTCAACCCCCATTTCGAGGAACGATGGATCCAACTCAAAAAAGGATACTGATTATTGAGATCTATCAACCCTTTTGATTCTAAACTTCTCATTCACATAGTTCCATCCACTTCAATCAGACGGATTGTAGAAACTCAGACATTTTTCGGTGGCATTCGCTCAAATTGCGATGAACTAAACCAGGAGGACCATACACAAGTCATACATCCGGTAAATGCGTGAGAACCCGGTAACGCGTTACCCTGCGCGTTACACACATCAACATCCAAATTCACGAACATCACTCGAAGATTTATGAGTTTCTGTGTGTTATTGGAAAAGAGACCTACCTACTTCCATCTATACCTTGATGGTATTAGCGTCAATATTTTACTTGCATTTCCCAAAGCAATAACAGCAATATCCATATCGGAAGCGTTAATAATGACTTCGCTGCTTGTTGGTAGTTTACCAAGATGGTAAATTATTCGAGAATCTGCCTCTTAGTGGCTGCGGCACAATTCAGTTTTTACCACATCATCTTCCCTTGTCACAAATATTATAGCACTTATCTTTATATGTGGCAAACACAACTTTCCTTCCAAGTAAAGCACAACAGGTCTTTTTTGACTATGAACGGTATAAGTAATCTATAAAAGAGGCTTTGAGCTATCATTGCGAAGTGGTTTTATGAAATTTGCAGGCTGCTTCTGAGTGGAAACAGCAATTGAGTAGGATTGTAATCTTTCCTGATTTTGATCCCAACGATCATGTTCTGCATCCTTCATGGAAGGGGTAACTATCTGTCAAAAGTAAGATGAACTTCTCTCGCTGACACAGCACAAATCTTGCCGAGGATGTGTTCAGAAAATCGCTCAAAGGTTTACCAGAGATCTTTAAAAAGATGCAAAAAAAATATTCCATCGATTAAAACAACATCTACAACTGGCGATGGACTAGGAGCACTTGGAGAATCATACTTCTGAAAAAGTCTCAGCAAAACAAACTTGACTATTTTAATCATCGATCCATCAATGTTGCATAGAGGCAACGGCACTGGAGTCAGAAGATAGTTTAGAATGAGCTGAGGGTCTATCTTCTTTTCTCTTCAGGTTTTCTGTTTCTCAGTGTGAAAAGAATTCAAGAAATACCGACAATCTTATCGCGAAATAAACAATTTATTATTTTCCCTCATTTAATTCGTTTGGTAACTCCATGCGGTGCGTAAATCTATACCTATCTCTGTTCGTTATGCTCTCGCGCGCTTATCTCTCACACGCTCGCACTCGCTGGGATTTACTATACCTAAATTTTTTAACTTCTGAGACGTCTGCCACTATTAAAGCTACACTTAATATCGTCTGCCAGGATATATTTTAAAGTAGTGACAAAAAGAGGAATTTTTTATGTATAATTTTTATACTGTCCTCATGGTTTAGTTCAGGGGTGTTTTTTCCTACATTGAAGAGCGTCTTTCGCTACCAACGCTGCATTTGAAATCGTCTGCCATAGCATATTTGAAAACTATGGAAAAAATGGGATTTCTTGATACAAACCTTTTCCGTGACCCTTATAGTTGATCACCTAAAGAAGTCACCTATTCAGCGCCGCCCCAAGTTAATGCTGCCACTTACGACTGGCAGACGAGCGATTTTATTATTAGTTTTCAACGTACTTTCAGCCTGTATTGTCGAATTTTTTGTCGCGTATGGTTTAGTTACTATGTACGCTGCCTCCCGGTCTATAAGAAAAAGTGTGTTCCCCAGAAATTTCGGTGCAGTCGATTTTTGGTAAAAAAGGAAAGTTAGGTAAGTATTCAAATACTATGCGAAATACTTCTCAATAAGTATTCAAATACCTTGCGAAGTATTCGAATACTTTACGAAGTATCCAAATACTTTGCGAAGTATTGGAATACTAAATATTTGTGAAAGTATTTGAGTTACAAATACAAATACTGCCTCCATAAAAGTATTTACTTACAAAGTAGTTGAATACTTTAAAGGATTTGAATACTAAACAGTATTTACAAAATCGAATACTGCCCAGCACTGTGTAGAAGTGACCTTGTCAACTTATCTTAATTTTCCAAGATTTTCTAGATGGCGTCTTTTTAGAGTTAAACTGAAGTCAATTTACTTCTATTCATTACTTCTGAATCCAGGGGTTTTCTTGATTAAAAAAACCAATGTGTAGTTTACTTCAATGTAAAGTAATCGATGTCAATCGTGATTCAGTGCTTAATTAAAAATAAACGTAGGTAATATCTATTGTGTAACTCATTCTGAGTAGCCGTCCATATGTCCTTAATTTGGACTAAAATTGCAGTTGAGGTTTTTTTTTGGTGAAATTAGCAAACATCCGAAAGGCAGTTGCGGTTAGTCTCCGTGGTGGCCCTTAGGTTTTTCCAATCCAACAACAAAGACCCATGGTAGGTACCTATATCTGTGAAGTGAAATGAAGACACACATGACAAAAAAATTGGTTTAAATACTTTATTTGTATTTAATGCAGGATATGTTAAGATATGACGTTCCTTTTTTTAAATCATTAGCATAAGTATAAAAAAATCGCAATGAGTTAATCATTGTTTGGATAATGTTAACAATAACTTGTATCATAATTAAACATTTACTCAACACTTTTGCATTAGATATTCTACATCAATTTCACTTCTAAGGTACAAAGTTTCCCTTTCTCTAACATACTTGGTTTCGTCAATTTATGCTATGTCCTTCATTTAGTTATTAATATTCATAGTACATATTATTTACAAATTAGTTTGAAATATTTCTTACATTATTTTTTGTACATCAAGCATTCGCACTTGCGACAAACGAATCCAACTAAAATATACGCTTAATTCAAATTATTACTAGGGTTTGATTTTGGTACGTACCTAGTCAGGTATTTACATACATATAAAATAACAGTAACTAGAAGCTTGAAATTTATCGAATTGGTACAGTGGCTAAAAATGCGACAGTACCGCATAATTTATGAAAAAAATAACATACTTATGAAATGCTAATAGGTTGATATTGCTGTTTGTAAATTTTCGTTATGTGAAGTAAATATTAATTACGAAACTGATTATATATACCATGCGCAAAAGGTTCATTTGCGTGTAGTAATTTCAAACTTTATAAATTTTAAAACGATTCCATAACAACTTGCGTATTAGAAACCTAAAACAGACGTGCTCTGGTAATACTTAGTGCACGTAAATAAAAAAAAACACATACAAGGTTACATTGAGTAGCTGCAAATAGGCACTAGCTAAACTATACCAAATACGTATAACCATTATACATTAAAACAGATAATAAACTGCAACAAATAATAAAACTGTGCTTAACATTAGTTAACATTTGCATATTTATCAAAACATTCTATAATAATAATATTAATAAAACTGTTACTACATTAGAGTACCTGAATATCACATTTAAAAGTATAACAGGTCAGACTTTGAATAATTATAGGTAAATATTGCGTATTTGGTCGTGTAATTTACTATTGTAGGTACCTTTACTTTATATAAAAACTAAATAAAAAGTGACTAGATTAATTTAAAAGGTAACAGCATATGATAATGGGGATTAATTTAATCCAAATGAGGTAAACAACATTTTGATTCTTGTATATTTACATTCGTTACGAATTTTACACTTACATGTCTCAAAAATATTTATTAATTCAGTGACTTGTAAGTAGTACACGATACTTGATATGTTAGGGCTTGGGATATGTTTAAATAATTATCAAAATTCATAAATGTGTAGATATTGAAACTCCGCAGCATTTCACGAGGAATACAATGGAAGTATAATTAGCTATCAATAACACTTGAGTTTGTTTATAATGGAAACTATTTTTTAATTCTCTAATTCACATCAATGAAACAGGCTTTCAATCATGAATTTTCGTCTGGCTGGAATACACCTTGATCATGACGGACCGTATTGAACGATCTTTGTTTAATCATCTCCGAAAAATCATGTTTGGACAGCCTGTAGAGTGTAGAGGATGAATGATACCACATAATTAAATTTCAAAAGATTTACTGCAATGAGTAAATGAGTCAAATCAGTAGGTTAACTTTTGGGTTGGGGCTGTAAAACTCAAACTGTAATTGTATTTTCTTTGATTAGGATGAAAATAAAACATCCTTTAAGTATCCTGATGGAGAGAGGATTCAAGCTCAAGTAGTGTTCAACGATACACAGACCCTTGGAAAAGTAGAGCTATGTAAAAAAAATGCATGTTCAACGACTATTTTGGTTGTAGTATGATTTTGGTGTGCTGTGTTCTTGTTTTTTGTAAAACGTTTTTTTGAAAAATTTTGTGATGTTGACAAGAGAAAAAATAAAACGATTTTGAATTTAATTGGTAACAGAACTCATTAGATAAAGAATTGATTACTCACCTATTATTTTGGGTAAAAGAGACCACTATGTATAGTTTTAAAAAAATTGCGCGAGGTTTTGTTTGATTTTCCGTTAATAATGTGGGGGGGGGGGGGTGCGTATAATAGATGGCCATAAGGAACTAAAAGAAGCTAAAACAGATGCAAGAAGCAACAAACTAACAAGAAAGAGCGGGTCAGAGGAGAAGACAAAAAATCAACTGGAAAAAATAGTGTAGGTAACCTTGCGTGACCAAAATTTCTACTGTGAAATAGTTCAAAAACTAGAAGATGAAGTGTTTCTTAGTTAATGTGTTCTAGAAACAAAATGGAAGTAGCGAAATCCTCCGCAGGGAACTGCTAATCCTAAAGCTGTGGGGACAGTCGGTTTTTCATTATGCTCCAGGTTATGTCCAAAATACTTTATAATATATCTGGACAATACGCATTCTAGGTACTATCTCCAGAGTTATTTTTTAAATCTACTTTGTTAGTTTACCTACTAACCAATCACTTATTTTTAAAGTACGTCACATTCTTTTACTAATACCATTATTTTTATAGTAAAAAATTAACCACTTTAACTAGTCGCCACTTTAATAATTTACTTACTTTACACTTTTATGGAATCGTATTTAGCACCCTTCCTTTGTTATTATTTTTGTTACTTAAATTTCAATTTGCAATTTGCTTGTAATACTTTCTGTAGCCTTTTGTTGAGGTGATATAGGTGTACAGCTACAGACGGACAGTTCGTTAATATAGCTGATAAATTAAATCCATGGCAAATTGATTACTTATTGAGTTGACAAAAAGTACGTTTCAGGGGACTGACTACTCCAATATAATTCGTCCCCACAAATTTGGGGATATCACCTCTTAACAGCTATTGTTTGAGTACACTTGAATTGAAGTTGGAAGATAAATTTTTTCTAGTGGACCAAACGCTTTGGCAAAAAAATTAATAAATTCAAATAATTGTATCACGAAAATCTATTAAGGATATTGATATCGATATCTGATTTTGTGGGATGCTAATGCCGAAAGTGATGTTTGCTAATTGCTAATAAGAAGATCTTTCTATTCAAAAATGCAATAACGTAAAATTGGCAACTGAAATAATAGAATAACAGTGTGCATGCTAAATTTATGTAAAACTTCACCCTCCTCTGCGCGAATTAAAGGCTCTTAATATTCAGCACGAAATCGGCTCAGAACAAAAGCATTTAAAAATGACGATGTTCGCATCTACTCATTGCAGTAGGAACCCAATAATCGAAATCAGCAGAACACTTACCTTGCAACTAAATTCGAGACATCAAAATGAACACTATTTTAACTTCCAAACTTTCAACTTTCATACTTTTGATAAGTATACTTGAATTTACATAATAATCTACTGTTCAAGGGGAAAATACCCTCAAGCTTCTTAATAAAGTTGCTAAAACATTCGCTAAGCTTTCAGCTTCAGATGCTAAATGCTCTTCAATTGTAGCTTGCGAACTTCGATCTATATTGGACGTTAATAAATGTCGGAATGCTGCCGTAACATCGTGCACTTTTATGATTAGGTTTCGCGTCTGTAAAGGTGCCGTTGTGTGATTCGCCAAATCTTGACAAAGTTCAGTCAGTCTCCTTAGTATCGTTAAACAAATGGCTAAATTCTCGGGTAAATCGGGTAGTGTGGTGTCGGACATGGCAATTACTAGCATCTTACTTGACGTTACTAGTTGAAGAGACTGTGATGTTAATTCGTCTTTCGCGATCTACACAGGCCCACCTTAATGAATAGCCCCACAAAGATTTTTACTCACCTGAAATTTTTCTTCACTCATAAGACTACCTCCTCCGTGTACCTGAGCGGCGTTACACTGAGCGGCAACTTGATCGAGCCGTATCAGCAAACTGCCCATGGCCGCATCCGTCTTTGTAAGCAAATTTTCTCGTGTCGAAATACATCCGTTTTTGACACAAACTCCACCATTTCGCTGTATCGATTCGTCCGCAGTTTTCGTCCAACTCCTATCACTGCTGGCAGACTCAGAGTAGCTACGTATATGCGCATGGCCATTCGATTGACGAGACGAAGGTGACTCCTGGGAAAAACTGCGGTTCTTTTGTGTTTTAGGTGAATCTGGACATTCGACTGGTACCATTGATAGTTGTGCTCCTCTGCCTAAATGTGGCGATGTTGGTGTACTAATCGCCGTTGAAACCGAGTTTAATTTTCGATCGTCCGAAATGCCAAAACCAGATTCGATCGCGTTGTAAACGTTCCTATTCCTCTGTAAATGGGGCGAACCGATACACGCTGTGCGAGACTCTGTGCTATTTTTTGGTTGCGGATTGCTGTTCTTACGTCTTAAGACCTCTAACGGAGGCACGGGAGGTAGTGGAGGTTTCTTTGGTGGTAAATACAGGTGGGAAGGTGCGTGCGAGTTCAATTCGCCCCGTGGAGGCAACGTTGGTGGTGGTTCTGCTTGTAAATTGTGATGCGCGATATTGTTTGTTAGCGAATACGATCGTTGGCGCTCTTGACTCAGAGTTTTTGGTGGGCGTTCTGGTGGCTTCTGATCGGATGACCTTCGCGGAGGTGGGCATAACGCATTTGAACTGTCCCAATGCTCTTTGTTCGATTTTTCCACCTTGCCCTTCGCACAGCAGGAAAATGCCCCCTTCCTTTCAACCGTTGCGTATTCTATTATGTTAGATTTAACGCTTCCATTGCTATTTCTTCTCATAAGGCTTCCGTTTGTGTGTTGATATTCTGTGCGTTTATGCACATCTTCTTGTTTAGAAACACTTGTTGGAATATGATTTGGAAGCGACAAGTTCTCGAAACTTCGTCTAAGAGCAGGAGGTGGTGGAATTATGAAAGACATTATCTCCTCAGGCGTCAGCTCTACTGCCGGCGTAACTTTCTGAATGGGTGGAGGAACCGTGACGCTGGCCAAAAATTCTTCCAAGTCAATATTGTCGCTTAAAATGTTTCGGTCGATAATTTTCAAGTTTTCAACCGAATCGGCAAATTTGCTCGGAGGATTATTGATTGGTGTTGGTAAGGCACAATCCAATTCATCAGGTGTTACTGGGGGAGGTATTAAAGTTAAATCTATAATATCTGGATCAAAATCGTAGTAGAGATTTGTTAAACTATCTAAATCGGAATTGTTGCAACTGTCTTTTAACCTTTCCAAGTATGCCTTTAAATCCTCTTCTTTAGAACCCGCATTATCTGGACTACGTAATCCGAAGCTTACTCTACTCTTACTAAAATTGTCACCTAGTTTATTTATCCTATGCTTTGGCGAATTGTGTGGCGTGCACACTGAGTCGTTATCACTTTCTGAATGGTTGTTTTCGCTACGTAAAATTTCAATGGTAGTATTTGTATATGAGTGTTTCGTCTCATCCGAGTACTTACGACCTTGCGTTAACAGCAGCAAAGAGTCACTGTGTTTTAATTTTCCGGGTGCGTCGTCAGCAAACTGGCTTTCAGAGTCGCTCTCGATATCGACACTCGTTTCTTGCCACTCTGTAGAAGCATGCCTGTTAAACTCCTCTTGCTCATTTAAATATTTTTCAGAATTCTCAACTAACTGATGCATCTCTTGCACTCGTCTCAATACATCATCACTTTGCGAAGTTTCTAAAATCTCCATGGAAGCAACTCTCTCCAAGTCATATGAATTTGACTTACTATCACAAAATCGGAAATGATTCCTAATTTGATTATTCCTATTGTTTGTCATTGAACTATTCATATTACTATCTAAACTGAATCCGGGCATGAAGGGCGGCTTGCTCTGCCTTCCCACAGTGTTGTACAAACCGTTGGTCTTGTGGTTGATGCCTTGATAAGCGGGATGAACCGCGAAGCAGATACTACGCACCTGGCTTTGACTAATATAGCTCCATTTTTCCGGCACCACTCTATGTTGCGACAAATATGGCGGGGCCAAATCTTCTAGAGGAGGCGATTCTTCCTGATCCACTGGCAGATTTTGACCTGTAGCTAACTTAAAGTAACCGCTTAATACTAAAACGAGCTCAGAAGCGTCTCTTTCTTCCAACGTTATTGTAATTATTCTCTCATTATGTAATTTGATTAATACTGCTCGGCTTAACTCATCCTCATTTCTTACTTCTACTCGTCTAATATCTTCTAAATTGGCGATCGGTAGGGGCTAAACAAAAGACGTTAATGTTTACGCTTATATTTCTAAACGGCAGCTTACCACAGAGTTCCTGGTACCAATTATTTGGCTTAATCCAAATTTGGGACTAACTAGTATGACTCGTTCCATTGCATCTGCCCGGGGACCGGCAGAGAAACATTTGGCACCGTAACTTGGTAGTTGACTAATAAGATCCAAATAATGTATTTTAACTTGGAGGGCAGTTAATTGTTTACCAGGACCGGCCATACTGGCGTGCAATTTGAAAAAGTGCGACAAGACTTTGTGTATTTCCTTACGTTTCATATTTTCTAAAAGTGAAGCAGGCACAAAACGTTCCAAACCAAAGTCTCTTCTACAAGTCACAGATCAAAATAAAATTGGGTGATCGAAATGTACTTACTCAACAGTCTTAACGGTAAGTTTGGCAGCAGAGATGTTGTTTGATAGTGCGTGTTGGTAGATTTGTAATGCAGCTAGACGTAAGGCAGTATCGTATTGTAATTCCGGTGCGAATCTTTCTTGTGTTACGTCATTACAACACTGTGTGTATAAATAGTCGAGAGCTGCAAGATCTCTTTGTGCAAGGGCTGCTGCCGAAGAAGGCACAAAAGCCACTCGAAATAAACACCGTAATTTATGTGCACCCGGTTTTGATGCTATCTAAAGGAGGAATGGAAACGTTTACAATTATGATCTATTAAAACTTACCCTAGCTAAAGTATCTGTGGGATCCAACAACGTTAACTTATTACGCTTCAACGATTTGATGTGCTCAACAACAAGACTGAAATGCTCCGTAGCTTGCAGGCATAGCTTTGTTTGCAGCGATGTTACAACGTCATGCACCGTCGTCCATGCGTCGTATTTAAATGATTTTGTTTGACCGTTTTCTAAAAACACTTTGAGAACATTTGCCATCGGAGGCACGCAAACGTCACCCAGAGAAAACGCGGACGGCTATACAAACGAATCGTTAATAATACTTCTTAACTTAGGTACTTTCACTTACTGGAAACAGCGGGGCACCATTCACGCATACACTTTCTGCAAAACGAACCCTTGATGGTTTACTTCGAAGTCTCGCCCTTTTGCTAGCTGATAAGAATGTGGACTTGCGAGCACCGCTTTTTTGCATAGGCTGGCACACAATTAGACATACGGTTGTTGCACACGCTCTCACTAAAGCAATTACATGTTCTCTTGGCGCATCCTTTACATCTTCGCCGTTTACCGCAAGAATTTGGTCCCCAGGGAGAAGCTGTAAAAAAGATTTCATTATAGGACAACGCGTTCATTCCAATCGCAGATTTATGGTGGCATTATAAGGCGATGTTGGGTTAAAATTTGGTTGTATTTCAGATTGGACATTCGACTATTTCAGTTTAATCCGAAGTCAATTTTGTGTTTTTGTCAGAATTATCAGTTGTTAACTTTGTTTAAGTAATCACAGGAGTAATCACCTTGTATTTTATTTATTTGGTCAATTTCATTACGTGTTAAAAGACTAGATTTAAATATCTGGAAATAGTTGCGTAGGATTTGTAAAAGTTTATCTTCGGTCGTAGATAAAAAGTTTTGTTATCGCGGCGTAAGCTAATTAGTTTCAGGTGCAATTACCGTTCAAGTGGAGGTGGCAGTCGAAAAGAACGGGAAATTGTTTTAAATAGAAGAGGCGGAGGCTTGTTTGGTTTGATACCATTTGAAACCTAGCCGTTTATTGTTTTGTGCGTATTTGGCCGTTTGTCGTTATCGAAGCTTTCTGAAAAGTGAGTTCGTCTTGCCAGTTGAGAAGTTTTTGTAAAAGAAAATCAGTTGAGCGCTCTAAGCTGGGCCGGATTTAACATGCGGCCATGTAGGCCCGGGCCCATAGCGGCAAGTATTTAAGGGCTCCAAAAAACCAAATTTGGGTAATAATTCCATAGTATTAGCGTGGAAAAATAACATAACCTCTTAAGAAACTGAAGTCGGAATGTTACGCATACTCTTACCAACTTAAAAGTAATCATGAAATATGGAGTAACATTTCGACGAAATTTGAGATTGTAGAAAATTTAGGGCTTTTCCCGCAAATTTTGTTGTTGAAAACGCTTAATAAAGGTGCCCGCAAGGGCCTCTAGCCGCCACGTAACCGTTAGATTCTCTGAATTCTTTGAAACACTATTTAGTGGTTACATTTACGTTTATATATTGGATTTCATTGTTTAAACTGTAAAATAAACTTAAAATATCTTATTTGAAATTAGTGTCTTTTATTATTTTGGAAAACTTTCTGAATTTCACATTGCAAATATTAAGTAATAATGTATATTCTAAAATGATGTAATGATGCGGAAATATTAAAAAAAAGAAGTACATTTGTCTAAAAAAAAGTTATTTGTTTGTAATTCAAACTACAGATATTATACTTTGTTTGAATAACACTTTATAGTTAATGTTTTTCCTACCAATTAAATCAATCTGAGCAAATGAAGAGCAAGTAAATCGTATTACGTTTTCTGTAAAGAGTAAAAAATAATTTTGGTTGGGGTATAACATGTTTTTAATTGGTTGGGGGGAGGGGGGGGGGCGACAAATTGCGACGGGCCCATAGGTGCAAAATATGTACATCCGGCCCTGACTCTAAGACATTTTTATACATCATTAAAAGTGAATGTATAAGTCGTTCACGAAGAAGTTTATTGGGCTTCATTAAGCACAAACTAACCATTTGCAGATGTATCAAATGTATTCGGCATCAATCAATCAAATAAGTTGAAAGAAATATAGGCACTCAGGGTCAGAAGACAAATACCACAACAAGGCATCGATAGAAACATCATCATATGCTTTAAAATGTGTCGAATTCTTTAGTATGTATGTAACTTCAAAGTGTGACAAAACAAGAGGTGAACATGCGCGGATATTTTTTGTAATAAATTTACACCCGTAAAGTCTTGTGTAACGAAAGCCCTTTCATGGGGAGTATTTTTTCAATTTTTTGTAAGGTTGCGAATTGAATATATTTAAGGTAGATCGGTTTTAGGTGTTGAAGTATACAAGGTGCTTCCATTATAGAGCTGTTTGTTCCAAAATGTTATTATTTTAAAATTTTTAATAGTCAATGGGTTCTTAAGAATCTGTATCTATATTTTACGGGTTATTGGTTTACGGATGCCTCGTGAACGATTAAACGCCAGTTTGGCGGGTGGTAATACAATCTAAACCAAAATAGTTAAATCAGGATTACAGCATGATGTGGTCTTAGTCGAATTAAGCGTTCACGAAGAAGTTTATTGGGCTTCATTAAGCACAAACTAACCATTTGCAGATGCATCAAATTTATTCGGCATCAATCAATCAAATAAGCTGAAAGAAATATAGGCACTCAGGGTCAGAAGACAAATACCACAACAAGCCATCGATAGAAACATCATCATATGCTTTAAAATGTGTCGAATTCTTTAGTATGTATGTAACTTCAAACTGTGACAAAACAAGAGGTGAACATGCGCGGAAGCACTAGGTTGTAGTGTTAAAAACGGCCGTGGGCTTTGAATGTTGGCACGCGTGTGATTTGTTGAGATAGACGACGCCGATTGGTTAGCGATTAAAGATGGTCGATTGAACTAATTAGCGTCATTTGGGGCGTGCGGAAAATAATTAAACGGAAGTAGGGACTAAGACGAGATGGTCTGGAGCCTAGTGCGTGGTCCAAAATAAAAATTCTTCTCTTCGAAACGTTTTAAGGTAAATTTAATTAATGAGGTTTCTAACTGGATTGACAGAATGGAAAAGAGTTGGTTAAAACGGGGTTGTAATCACCTTCGTTTTTGTTAAATCCAGGGGATGATAATTGAAGCAACGAAGCAACCATTTCTAGTTTGAAAAGAAAGAGATGTATTTGGCTGAAGACAGTATTTAGTTGAGCTAGCCGTGGATACATTTGGGCAAAAAAGTGTTCGCCCAGATAGGGGAAGTGCAAGTTGCAAACCATTTACTGCGGTATCAATGGAAGAAATTAAAGCTAAGATCGATATAAACATAAAAGCTAAAATGGTACTTTCAAATCTATTTAGCTCAGTCAGTGCATGACTGGCCTTTCAAAGCTATATTGAGGGTTTAATTTTTGCATTTTCCTTGGACCGAATTTTGAGAGTCTGTCGGCGTAATGAACTTACTATGACGACGTGTGCAATATTTAGATTTAGTTACAGTGAAGTACAATCAAAGACAAAGTTTGTTGTTTCAAAGGGAGGTTTTCCTATAATAGTAATTGTGCCTTCAAATTACATGTTTACTCCAATAAACACTTACGAAGTGTACAGAAAGGCTTTACTCTCCTTAACTACTGTCGTAGTTTGTGCTTTTCGTTCGTTAGTTGATTTTAGCTTTACATACGCGAAATTATTACATATAATATGCTGATGGCTAAGTAGGTATATGTATAAAAATGCGCTAAAAAGTCAACTAATGCTTAAAAATTGAGAAGAACGTCTTGAAGGAGTGCTATCCGAAGTGCGCTCTTTAAATATTTAATGAGAACGCTGTAGTAAATGCCATATGCCCCCAGGCATTGAAATAATTATGCATAATGAACTTTTAAGAAAGATTCATAAGAATATTCCTTTTATGAAATGTGCAATTGCCCCAAGAACCTTGTCATCTACCTCCATCTTTTATAACTTTGCTCGTCCAATTTGCTAGTTAGTAGGTATCATAAATGATTCTCCACAAAAGTAAGTTAACTGGTATCATCAATTGCCACTGTTCGTTGAGCGGAATAAGATCAAACGGGTCCAAAGCTATACAGGTGCACGCGTCGCGTCGGGCGTCGTCGTTCAAAATAATGAGATATTCAATTACCTTATCGACGCTTGGACCACCTTCCGTGACGAAACGCACAACGACGGGCTTTTCCGATCCCGCCACAAAACCAAATCCCATTATTGTCGATCGCTCGAGGGTGACGGAACGGGGCTCTGGAATCGCTATCGGCTCCATATTTCTCACTGATGGATTTTCGTAAGTCGTCGTTTTGTTCACATGACTGAAACAATTATTGTAATTTAATTTTGCATGTTGTAATGCTGCGAAAGTATAAGATATTATATCAACTGTATTGGCAATTCACGTCATACTATACAGACAGGACGCGCAGAAATATGTAAAACAGGAGAAGCCAGTAATGAGAGTACTTATTCTACGTCGTAGAATGTATAAATTTCCAATTAATTTTGACCATTGTCTGATATGCAGGGTGAGTTGAGTGTAGACGTCGAAAACTAGCAGAGACGGTTAGGGGATAATTTGCAGTTTTACGAGCTCACGTGAATGCCCTTTATGGCTAACTAGATAAAACGTAAGAATGCTTCTTTCGGTACGTTTGGTAAGTCATTTATTGACTTTAGAAAAAAATTACAAAAGAAAAAGGAACAGCTACAATTTTGAGTAAGAACAAAGGAAAACTGATTTTTCTAATGGAAACCGTAGTGTTTTGGGTCATTACTCAAACTCGAAACCGCCTGGAACTAAAGCTTCGACGTGTTCGTTAGTGAGAACCAAGTGAGTTAACGTTTGTGGGGTTTTTACACGTATTTATGGAAGCTCTTCATTTCCAAAAACTGTTTCCTGAAAAAGTGTAGAAGGGCCACATGCAGTTATGGACGGATGTTACAATTTATTTCTTCTCCTCCTTTCTCTGGTGATTCTTCACACAACTAACTTCACTAACTAACGAATGCTGCTGTCCCACTATTTGCACTCATATTTATAGGTATCATCTTAGTAAAATATCACTCAATAAATTTTTGTTTTACAACAATGACCCGCTTCATTTATCACATCCCGAATATACACACGTACTGCAGTATAAATATTAATTTACTCTATTTACATCTGAAATAAAATTGTATTTCTAACCGAGATTGTTACTTTATATTGCTAATTCCCTTTTAGCTTCCTTGCGGTTAAATAAAGAAAACCAGTTTTGGTTATGAATAAATAGATATACCCGACGTGACAAAAGTTAGATTTATTCTCGCACTTTATATGCTACGCTATCACTCCCTCTCTTTTTTCAGATTATTGACAGAGAGCGTCCTTCTGAATTCAGACGGCCGAGACCAAGATTCAAAGGTAATATTTTTTTCGTCGTATCTCCGTGAGGTAACCGGCCCGTGTGGCACATTGGAGTTGAAGCTCAACTGCTGTACTAAGGGTCCCTGGTCCGGGTTCGGGCATAGACATTTGTAAATGTAAATGTGGGTCGGTTTGATAGAAACCCCGGCCACTTAAAAATAAAGACTAAAAATAAATAAATAACATTTGTGCACAAAGGCTTATGATACAGTCGAATTGTAATTCATATATTTTGTGTGATAGTCATTTAAACAATTTTAATTCCGCTACTTCTGCGGAAGTATATTTTGATAATAATTCTCTGACGATTTGATTCCTTTTTGTAAAGTATTTTTGAATTTAAATGTTAATTTTGAGTAAGACTCATATATTTCAACATCTTTTGTAAATCGACCGAGATCTCGGCAACAGAATATGATAGAATTTTCGGGTTTTCGGCATTATATTCGTACTATTGTGTTATTCCTGCATCGATTAGTCTGACAGATGAAATCTATTCCCGAAGTTGATAATTTATGAATCTCCTTTAAGTGTGTAAAATTAACGAAATAGAATATTATAGTGTGTGTATGAATGTCATCGTCGTGAAACCAAATTTTTCAAATTGAAAAATTGGACGGTCAATAGAGCATTGCCCATTGGAAATTTGCTTGGGTAGCTATCATTCCGTATAAATTTCAAAACGTATAACCGGTATTTCGTATAAAATAAAAACGTATAATAAAATTACGTATAACTTTCATTTTGTCGAACTTGTAAAACATATAAATAAAATTCGTATAAAAAAAAAGCGTATAACTTTCATTTTGTCGAACTGACAAATCGTATAAATTAAAAGCCTATAATACGAAACCTGTATTACCTACTTAACGTCTAAATTGTCTGTAAGATGGCGATCCGTAGCGTAAACTAGTGTAAACCATACTGTTACTACTGAAGAAGATAGGTCATTCTGTACGAACAAAATCCTAAAATTTCGACGACTCGACAAAGCAATCGATAGGTATTAACTAAGGTATTAACCATACTTTACTAATTAACCATACTAATTGCCGAGTTTATATTATAAAAGAAACGCGTATTTTTATTTGTCGGCGTGTTACTAGCTTATAGGTAAAAAGTTTCGTTTCATATGTATATTTAGAAACGATAAAAAACAGACGACATAACAACTGTTGCGATTGCATTGTACTTATACATATTACGGAATGGGAAACCAGCCAGCAAGAGCAACGAAAAGGTCAAATTAAATGATGCTAAAGGTTTGAAAGTCGAGAAAAATTATATGTTAAGGCAGCCCTCGCCTCCTACATTCTCCAGGCAGAAACTTTTTTGTGGCCCGACGTACTTCTATAGCAATTTTCTGTTGCAACCCCGGAGGTTGAACTTAGGCGTTTAATGCTCATTTGCACCGTACAAATTAAATTCTGCTTATAAGTAGAGCTTAATCTCTATAGCAACCATTGTCTCAACAATCGTTACCAAGGTATTCAAGCCATACTTACATTTAAGTATTCCGTAATTGTTATGGTGCAATTTGGTCTAAAGGCAATATCAAACAGTTCACTTAAATGAAGTACAAGCGATTGATGCCGAACGCCGAAAGCAACATCATGAAAGACAGAAATGAATAAGAAGTGAATCGTCTGATATCACCTTAAGAGAAAAAATAAAATACATTGAATAGAACTTAATATATTTATTTTAATATACATAAGCAAAACAATCATACAAACAATTGTAAAGCACAGATTGATAATAAAAGCATCTAGTAGAACCCTAAACAAATGTGAAATATGTAACAATAAATTGAAAGATTAAATTTGAGAGTATTCATATGAAAAATCGTGAGCCAAGTATTGCTTCATTTCGCGAGTGAATTCTTGATAATACGAGTATGAAGATGAAATTTCTATTAAATTGCTGCACGTATGTGCAATAGGTCTACGATTTAAACCATTTAAATTATTAAAAGTTACTAAAATTGAAGATGGAAGGTGAATAGAACCAGTCACAAATAACAAAAATTTTTGCAAATCAGAGTCGCTCAATGATAAAACAAACTGTTGTAAGTAATAGAACACTCGTGATTGGTCATTTGTTAATTCCTGCTCCCTTTGAACAATGCAATCAACAACTTTTTGAGGAGACGGTTTCAACTGATTTAATATAGTAGACAACTCTTCAACAGTCATTACATTCCATACTGTAGTTAAATGAGTATCTAGAATTCCACTGCGCATTATGGTAATAAAGTCTTTAGGTTTGCTAATTAAAATATCAGTTGCAAGTGTTAAGATTTGCTCTTGTATTTGGTCTTCACGGGGTATATCGTACATCCCATAGGATGAATAAAATTCTTGCAAGCGGTACAACTCAACTGTTGATAACTGAGAAAATGATGAAATTGCTTTCGAAATAAGAGTTGATTCAGCCTTAGTTACAAATAGCTTAAAATCGTTCATGATAATTTCATCTGAAATTTCTTCATTGTTCAGCAATAGTAAATAGACACATAAAGGCAATTTTGTAGGTAAGCTTTTGGTAAGTATAAACATGTGAGTTAGAATACGACCTATCAATTTAAAGTTCATTTTATCTCTTCGAATGCGATGCAAGGGAAGGAACGGAATAATTACATCTTCACCTCGAAAGTAGTCGATTACTACTTCATTCCAAAAAATGGTGAATGCTTCTTTAGTTAATCCACCAAAATCTGACCCCAACTCTCCTTTGAACACAATGTTTAAACTTTTTAATGTAACCATAGGGTCTGAGTAGAATGAAAACATATCTTTTACAACACTGGATCTGTCTAACTCTAAGGTAAGTGCCGAACCTGTCAACAAAGATAAATAAGCTAAAAGAAATGCATTGATAAAGTTACCTTGTGGTAAATCAGCAATGAAGTTGTCCAATAACTCTGTATTCTCAGTATGTAATTCTAATAAACAGGAAATTAGCAAGGTAATCTAAACTATTTATTCTCACCTGTAACCTGAACAGAATTTTCACGTAAAACTCGATCGACAAACTCCATAATTTCCGCATCTTCCTCTGGTGTAACTGTAAAAAGTACATTTAATGAAAGTAAAAATATTTTATAACATAGAATAACTAACGAGTTTAAATAAAAAAATACAGTAAATTATACAACACCCCACATATGATAGCCTTAGGTAATCAGCTCTATTCTCTTGTAAATAATATAGGTTTAAAAGCTTCAGTCAAACTATCAAATACTTTATTGGTGTCATCATCCCCAATATTTATGAAAAGTGCAAAGCCAAAGCATTAATTAAAAATTAACTTAAGGTGCTACTATCTAAATAAACATACTACGAAAAGTTTTACTTTAACTTACAAAATGCTCTTTTTAACATACAATATTGCTTTATCATTCATCCAGAAAAAAATATTAAAAACACACTAAACAGCATAAAATACTGAAACAAATCACATTTATGTGTGTTACTTCACTGTTACAGACCACAAATTTAACATTTTTGAAAAAATACTCCATATTCCATGCTTTATACATACATGACCAATAATTCTAAAGGTTCTAACGAATGATAATATAAGTCAGAGCATGGAGAAGACTATTTAAAAAAATTACAGTGATAGACGCAAAATTAATTTGAGAGTTTATAAAAAACCGTGCTAAATAGCTACGCTTTCTTATGGTTTATGTGCATATGGGTAATATTGTTTTATAATTTATATCAATTTTCAATTTATTTTATGTGTAACAAATTTTGGCGCGCTTCTTCTAAGGTTAAATAGGTTGCATGATGTGCAAGGATTTATAGTGCTAAATCCCAACAAAACAGGATGTAGTGAAAAATCTTTTAAATTTACTGCAACCATTTGAAGAAGTAAAGCAGAAATTCACTTCAGAAAATGTTCAATCAATCATTCAATCAATCAATCTTTATTTGTCATACCTAAAGCGGTTTTGACACGTCTGACATGTTTGTATTTCTGAAATAATAGAACTGTTTAAATTTTAAAACCGTTTGCAAAGAGCCTATAGATTGTCTCACAGTGACTAGTCTGTACAGGGTGAATGCATAACATTGATGCCATACTTCTTTGCAAACTTGAGAACGCCATCGCTCACTGCATAAAACTGCAAATAATAACTAAAGACTATACCTCTTGTGACACTGGCCTGAACTGTTGTTTGTGCAAAAGTTGAGGTATCAGCATTGCCATTATTGCTGACTAAAGTTGAAACACTAGTCCTGCGTCGCGTTCTACGTTGACTAACCCTGCGTGTGAGAGGTCTACTAGGACGTGTTCGCCTAGAACGATTGGTATTACTTAAACTAATAGTTTCAGATTCATTATTTGCAATTGTAGCTGTTCTTAATCGTGTTGTAGGTCGATTTGTATGTAAATTGTCATCTCTTGAGTTACTTTCCGATGCATTGTTAACATTTGCAGTTCTCATTGTATCCACAATAGCGTTCTCTATTCTTGTTTCGACTATGCGTGCACCGTCAATGAGAAGTACATCATTTAAATCATCATTATGTCTGCTATTATCATTACTTAACAATGTTCGAACTAGTGAACTGACAAAGTACTTAGCGTTTTCTAAGAATTCAGACAATGATATTTGTTGATTTTGCAGTTCACGCCACGCTCGTGAAATATTGGCAGCATTTAGTAGGTATCTAACTTTAGGCAGTCTAGTTACCCTTTGACCAGAGTGAAGAATTATTACATCATTGTGTGATTTTGATTGAAGTTGTACCAGGTGCTCTGTAAAAAAACAAAAAATTTCCAATCATAAATATAACTTTAATTTGTACAGAACGCAATTTAAACATTTTGACAAATGTTACAACTTTAGTAACATGGGACCAAGGACGTAATACATCTCAGATTCAATATGAATTTAATGTACCTATTTATGACAAATTTTTTGCAGAATCGGAAAAAGTATACCTAAAGAACTATTCAAAGACGTGCCACATGTCTTTGTAGCTCTTATGAGCTGGAGAAAAATATAAGAAATGCAAATTTCACCACTTTTTTTAAGGTAGTTCCCAAAAGAAACACATTTGACTCAATTCCCTCTATCTCTCCATTTATGTTGCACCCTGTATAATACTGATAAAAAAATAACTATTTCTAAAAGCATGATGTGAAGTTCTGCTTCTCCTCGTGTTGATAGTCATCACTGAATGAACCTTCTGGTTCACTTTTCCTTTACCTTCCTTTCTATTTTCTCCTGTCAGTATACTCTTTTCTACCTGTTAGCTGCATTGTGATTGTCAATTTTATTTTGATGATAGGTTTGCATGTATATGCCATTCTTTTCGTGTTTTCAATATGAATTCAGCAAAGGATCACGCAAAACCATTAACGCGATGAACAACGCAAAAGCAGAACTTCAATGCATAGAAGTGAAGTCATTTGTGAGACTGATTACGCCCTGGTCCTTGAAAAAGTTATAATAAAGATCTAGATCTGCGATTAGTAACATTCAAAAACTATTCAAATTAATTTTTAAATAAGATTTGTGAATTGTTATACTAATTGGATTCTGTTGAAAAGATCTGGCTATATTTCATTACTCAAAGTTTTGATTTAGGTAATTCACTGATCGCAATTCCTTCTAAAACCTACTGTACAAAACAAACCTGTAAAAGCCCACACATTTGGATGAACACCAAACTTCTGATTTAGAACTCGATGATATGCTTCAACTGCATTATTAGTCCGTCTAACTAAATTGAACACACTAAAAAGTTGTGGTGTAACCCCTTCCAACCAAGTGGATTCCACATAAGTAAAAAAATTACTAAATGCATTACGAATATCGTCAGGGGCTTCAGATTTAATTAAATTAAATCCTTCTACGGCCATATCACATGGTAATAACGCTAATGCCATTATTTTCCTTAATACAAATTGAGCATGTTCATTTTGAGTCACTAGCGATCCCAATCCTAACTTTTTTGATTGACGATAAATTGCCTGTAAAGTATATTCTGGTTAACAATACAATTCAACTGACTATCTGTTTACCTGGCAAAAATGAAAAAAGCATCCATGAATTTCAGACTCAGGAAAAATCTCCATCAACGATTGATATAATGCTCTTTCATAGTCACACATTATTTGTGTAGCGGTCATGCTGGGGAAATTACTTTTTAAATGTTGAAACAGTGTTACATACGCTTCAGCAGTACGTTTGCTCATGAGTGCCCAGATACATGGTATCGACTATAAAAAAGTGGTCACTACAATTAAATTTTGGATTCGACTCACATGATTATGTATTGTCACCATTATGGTAAAACACTGCGCACTGCGCGTTGAAAGTCCAACATTGCATGGCACACATTTGAATGTTGCATCAACGTTCATTTCACAATTTGATAATAAAGGCTCAACATAAGTGGGATTGTAAAACAACAATATTTCAACATTTTCTGAAGGCTTTAAGAAGTAGCATTGAAGAGCGCCACGATCGTATGTCAATCGATTACACCACTTTTCTGATATTAGCAAGTCATAATATTCTTGCAAAGTGTTAGGATATGGGGGTCTACAAGTTCTTCTCCACTTAAACATAGCTGATTCAACAGCAGTAAATGGCAGTAAATTAGCCGCTTCAGGATATCTAAAAAAATTCATATATTGTTATTTAGATTCTTAACTGCAGAATATTAACTTACAATAAACGAATACTTTCGTAAATATCTTTACAAGAGCTAGTACTCCTACCCACAGACTGTCTTAACTCTCGCCGGAAGTAAAATAATTGATTTTCAGCAAAATCCTGAGGATGATTATGAGAAACAGAAAGCGAAAAATTCCCATCAGGCTTCAAAACACCCCTTGCAAAGCAAGGAAGAGCACACTTTGTACACATGTAATACCTATAGAAAACATTTTGATTAATATTACCAAAAAAAGAAATTGATAACATATTACAAGTACTTTACTTGTTTTTAGATACAATTTGATGTCATTTTCTTAATTCGTTTTCATGAAATATAATTATTCAATATAATATAATATAATAAGTACTTTTGACAATTATGATACGCAAGTATTAAACAATTACAGTGGAATCCCAATTAAACCAAACCTGTAATAAAAATATTTTTAGGAATAATAATATAGAAAACTACCGTTACTACTCTGTTTAAGAAACATTTCAATCTCTTGACACACCAAAATTTGTAAATATCTGATACATTAAGGGCCAGTTTTACAATCGCCAGTTAACCTTATCGGACAGATAACTGTCATAGACATAAAACAATTGTCTCCTTGGAAGTTATCTGTCAGTTACCGTTAACTGGCAATTGCAAAACTGGCCCTATATACAATGAACTGTTCCCATCACTATATTCCGTGCTACTTCATTTAATTAGACGTTGAATTTCTTAACAAAAAGTTTTAGTAATATTTTTTTTATATGAAAAGGTCCAGCAACCATTTCAAATTGACACAACCCCACTGTATCTAAAATTCACGATATGCTAATTATGCAGGGTAATGAATGTTTTAATTACTGATTATGATGCACGTATAACAAAAAATCTCTACACTAAAATTAGTCATAGAAAAGTTATTTTGCAGTGTGCTCTGATAGCTGTGGAATTGAATGCAATTGTGACTATCAATATCAATTTATGTAATAGTAACGCGCTTTACCTTTGGCTAGGTGCTGTAAAAACTAATCAAGTTTGAGGGATACCTTGAGAAATTCCATTGTAACCGTTTTAAGTAATAATTAGATAGTTTTCCACTAAAAATAACAATGACATTTTGAATGTTGAAACCGGTCAGCAAATAAAGCGATTTTTAGTGAAAATCTATTTAATTATTACTTAAAACTATTTAAGAAGTACTCAATTGCAAACGTAGTGAAATTGTAATTATAAATATTCATTGCAATTCAGTTGCTAATTGCAAAAATTCTACAATTTCAGTCAAAAGTTGAAGTTGCAGTAAACATTTTCTATCCATCACCATATGTTTAATTAGCATTCACCTGTATTACAGAGTAGCAATGACAAACGTCTAACAAGATTGCAGAACATGTTTTAAAAAATCTCGCAAAAAAAATTGTAATATTAATCAATATAAGTAAATCCACTGCCAAACCTGTTACCTAATGAAATCGAACTCAAGTTCTACTACAAAAAAAGTAAAAAATGAATAAAGTTGGTTACCTCAAATTGTTGTACACTCTATTCAGCTTATATTGGTAACCATCAATACTCAGTGGACTTCTTGGCATTTTTTCCTTCAAAAGTAGATTCAAATAGGTAACTTCCTTAATGTGCCTCTTTACTAATGCTGACAATGATCGCTAGTTGTAATGACAAACGCTATTTACATACGACAACAGCTGCTTTTAACGACAAATGCTTTCTGTGCTGCGTTTCACGACAAATGCTGGTAGCCATCTAAAACTAATAATGATATAAAAAATTATTTCACACATTACATACTTAGAATAAAATAAAGATCAGTGATATCTGGATTATTGAATTCGTTTACAAATGGCAAACATCCTCTAATTTTATAACAAACATTCGCCATGAAACTTTGAACAAAATCTGTCTTCATTTTTGTTCACAAATAAACCTTAAAATTGATATCTAAACAAAAAAGTTAGTAAATAACGTTTTTCTGCCCTTTGTTCAGTTTCGTTCAAACTCTTTTGATAGCCCACAAAATCGTTCACAAACGAAAGTTAGTGAATAGACGTGTTATACAATAGGCATTAAGGTGGCTACAGACTATGCGTGTATTCGCAATTCAAAATGTGCGATTCGCCAGCAATTTGTGCATAGTGTGTATGGATTCATTCGCTTAAATCGAGAATACATGAATAGTCTGCTGGGCTTCATTTATTTAACTAGAAACTGCCACGAACCGAGCGAATCCCGAATACACGCATAGTCTGTTGCCACCATTAGACATGTGTAAATGTGCTAAATCAAATGCAGAAAAACGATATTATTTTTCGCCCACACTGAAGGAATTTCACAATACTGAAGGCCACAAACGTGTAAATCGATCCGATTTCACACTTACTTATTTCATTATGTTATTTTATTTAAGTTGATAGGTAGGTACTTACATTTCATATCACGCCACCTCCATTTTTATCTTGCAGAAACTACTTCTTGCACGTGCTGTAAGGGTTATGGAAATCAAATCTATAATAAAAACTATTATAACTTGTAAAAATATACGCAGATTTAACACCTACTACAAATTATGAATTCCGATGGTTAACACGTACATTTACTGGTAGTCATATCTATCGATGATCACCGATTACTTAAACAATGCTTTTACTTAGAAGTAATTCAGAGAGAGTGAGAGAGAAAGAAAATAGAGAGAAATCTGTCATCTGTGGTAAAGAACAATGGCGTCGTTCCCGGCTAATTTAAAATGCAATCTTAGGTTTTCATTTTATCAATACTTGCATACTTACCACAATAATTATTGCAAGATTTTTAACCTGCAACAACTAAATGTTTATACTCAATGCCTATCTGCATAAACAAAGATATGGTAACTGTGCACGGTCCGTATAAAGTGTGTGTATGTATACAGTGTACTTCAAAAAAAGTTTGTAGAATTAAAGTTCTTATAGCCGTAAACTGAAGCCGTATACACCGTAAATACTGAAATTGTAAATTACATTATACTATTTTTGACTAGAAACTTTGAAAAATTTTCAAACTTAGATGAACTTCTCAATACTCGTATGCGCCATAAATACGGCCGCCCACTTGAAAACATCTTTTGTCCTTCCGTTATTTGCGGTTATATCAGAGACATTAGAGGAGGTAAATACTCCTATACATACTCCATAGGCGGTATTCCGTTGTTAACCATTAATATAAATGTCGCAAGGTCCGCCATTTTAGCGTGGAAAAATGCGGGAAAATCAAAGTAATGAGGCAATGGCAACGTCGTTACAAACACTTGTCAAAAACTTTCAGAATTTTCAGAACTTATGTCAGTTTTATATGTGAAAATTAATAACAGATGTCTTTTATATATTCCGTTCACTACAGTCACTAAACCGTTCACTTTCCATTTAGATCATGGTAACCCAGCAAACACACGACAGATACATTGTTCCCATGGTTTAAGGTAAGTCTTTCACGTACCTAATGTAGTCATGTTTTCTTTAATGCAATTTACTTTCATCGTTTTACTTCTACTAAAGATTTTATGTTAAATAACACACTCGCTAGTGCTAAGTACGTTTTTTTTCTAGGAGTGTATAGAACAGACTACCTTAGAGTACTACTACTAAATTTATTATCAAGACATCGCAAAGGAGAGATCGACTTCAATAATGTGGACGGCTTCATGGATCAAATCAGAAACTGTCGAATCTTTGGTTTGAATTTAATTACAGAACCAAAGATTTATATAAGTAATAGATACGCGGACCTTATGGACGCATAAAACCGTTGGTGTGCAATGACATCTATTGATTTATTTAACAATTTGATCGCTCGAACTGCCTTAATTTCCCCTTCCCTTATTATTGATTTTATATCCAAAAATCGAAATGGTGGAGCAAAGCATTACGCTCCACCTATAATATTTCTATCTCGCCTTAACGCATTTTTCTCTCGAACGGTGTACTTACGCAAGAACTTAAGTTACGCATTTTTATGAAATTTGATGGAGGTTTTAATTATCTATCCAATGGTATGGAATTCTTCTTGTAGGAGAAAATGGGGAGCAGAAAATGCCGAAAATGCATTTTCCCATGTTATTTCCCTATGTTCCGCTGTCAACTTGCCACACTGTATAATTTATATAGCTATTTGTGTAATAAGAGCGCAAAGTGCATAGTTGTCGCTCGGCGAGTTGTTGACGCGCGACGGCGTAGCCGGAGCACGGCAAACTCGCAAGAGCGACAACCGCACTTTGCGCTCGAAATGCACACAATATTTATCATGACACAAAGACAAAAAATTGATTTTACTTCTTTCTACTTATTACTTCAATAATAATTAATAGTAATTTAATATCAAGTATGCGCCTGACAGTTGTAATAGTGTTTGTCAATCACAACAACAAAAACACTTCAACCAGAACTTCAACTTTTAATTTGCTACGAAACCTCGTAGTTCCATCCCATTTAGAGTTTATTATTCATAACAATAATAATTGTACATTTAATATTATGAATAAATAAGTTTAGAAACTACATTATGTGATGTTGTATACATGTAAATAAATTGACGCTGTCTAATCGATGGGCGAACGACAAAATGACTATCGCTTGGCGAGCGACAAAGTTACTTTGTCGCTTGGCGAGCGACAAAGTGACACTTTGCGCTTTTATAATACAGCGAAAAATTGTTCTTTCTGTCATGATTGCGAAAAAAATATTTATATTGGATATATTTTTTTTACATAAAAAAAATAAAAGAAAATTCATCTAAAGAACGAGTGCGATAAAATGTCTTATGAAACGTGTTTCTTATTCTATTTTTTCTATTTGGGTTTTTACAAATAAAACAAAATTTAATTTAATAGTAATATACTGATGTGCATAGCTACATATACGTGTAAAACATTAGAAATTAGTGTTTTTGCAGTTTATTTGTTGACAGTATTTACCTATTGACATTTTGAAATCAATCGCGTCTTTTAAATTAAATTGTAATTTAAATTTGTTGCAAAAAATTTGAGGTCTTTAAAATCGAACTTTATGACATCCAAACGAGTGTCATAAAGTAGACTTTATAACATCCAAATAGAAAAAATAAGTTTGCGACCGTGTGTGAGTAAAGATGGCGTAACCAACTCGTTACTTTCTTACACAACGTTTAGGCAAAGCCTATAAGGTTGTATAAGAAAGTATGGTGATGGCAAAAAATTTCGATGTCGATTTTTTAACGGAATTACACGTTTTAGGTGTTTTTAAGTCATTTTAAGCAATTTTTGGAAAAAACAAAAAGTCCGATTAATTTGAAATTTAAAACATAAGCTTTTTAGCCAAAAAGTAAGGACGTATCAACTTTTGGGCAAAATCGGACCACGCATAAAGGTACTTTATTTGAAGCCCTTAAGGGTTTTTTAAAAATATATCAGAAACTAACGCAAATATTTTCACCAAATTTTATATATTGCCTTTTCTTGTTATTATCTAAGATATATATTTTATTTTGAGCAAAATCGGGTTACGCGTAGGAGTAGGAGTATTTGAAGCCCTTAAGGGTTTTTTCAATTATATTGAAAACTAACATAACATTGTCACCAAATTTTTTACTGTACTTTTAATAAGAAAGTCGTGTGCTGTACCACACCAACATTCTTATTGCTTTCTCACAAAAGTGGAAGCAATATTATCCGCACTTTGTCCGTCCGTCTGGGTAAAATTTGTAGACAAGTTTTTTCATAGTAATTTTGAAGCTATCGACATATTTTTTTTTTAAATTAAAGGTACATTATCGAACCAAGCGAAATTATTTGGAATTTCTCAATATCTTGGGAGCTATGTCTACGTCTTTTATGAAAATATAAGTTGAATTTCTACATCAGTTCTGAAAATTCGGAAAAACTTCGGGGAAATTTGGAAAACTTCTGGAAACATCGAAAAAATTTGAAAAACTTTGAAAAACATCAAGAAACTTTGGAAAATCTCCGAAAATTTTCGAAAAATCTTTGGAAAATTTTCGGAAAATTTTTTTTAAATCTTCGACAAACTTAGGAAAACCTCGGAAAAACTTAGATAACTTAAACTTACCGAAAAACTCGGAAAATTTTCGGTAAACTATGGAAACAGTTCGGGAAACTTTGAAAAACATCAAGGAAATTTAAAACATCTTGGATAAACTCGGAAAATTTTCGGGAAATCTTCGGAAAATTTTTGGATAATTTTTTTTTAAATCTTGGGTAAACTTAGAAAAACTTTAAAAAAAACCTCGAGAAAACTTAGATAACTTGATAAACTTACGAAAAAACTAGTGTGAGAAAGCAATTCTTTGTAATCACGAGTGATAACGCGTTTTTTTTTGTTTGTGCGAACATAATTCCACTGATTTTATGACACCTATAGACGTGTTCTTAAAAAATCATGTGCAATGCATTATTAACGATACAACTATTGAAATTTATCACCTTGTCTATTAAAATTAATTCCTTAACCTCGTGTTCGCCGCCATGTTTAAATGTCAAAATCAGCTGTTTACTCGTTTACTTTTCCAGACCGTTTATTTTCCAGAAGCAATTTCAGTAAATTGTGCACGACAAGACGCATGCGTAATCGCAATAGTAGTGCTCAAACTAAACGAAGCAAACAAGTAAATTTATAACCGCATATTTGTGCAATTGCAGTATTCATCTGAGTAAATTTTCGACCGTACCCTGTATATACTTTAAATTTGTACCTAACTTCACTCTGCAACAACTTTACGTTTGCGACCTTTGACGACGGCCGACGTTGCGCATGCGCGCACCTAAGCGCACCTGCGACCTGCCATTTGCTTGCAATTTTTCATGAAAAAGATTCCAAAAATCCAAAGTGAAAGTGCTAGAGCATCTGTGAATCGTTTTATATTCTTATTTTTTTATCCGCACGAAGCGCAATTTATGTTAGAATGATATGTTAATATTTTGGCGTTTGTTTGAAATATTTTGCGTTTGTTGTGCATTAATTTTGCGTTGGTTATACTCCTATATTGATTTTGCGTTTGTTGTGTATTAATTTTGCCATTGTCGTGTTACTGCTTCTTTCGCACATTGTCTGCTGTGTGCTTGAAGTTGGGCATGAGTGCAGTAAATAGAAGCAGGACTGGCTATGTGCCATTTAACTTTTGCAGAGACTTTCAAAGGGGT